GGGGCGGGCGGGCCATTTTGAATAGCCCCGCCACGCTCCCGCCCAACCTTTCCTCACGAGCCCGCACCTGGGCCGCCCCACCACATCCATTTCAACACCCTCCTCCTGTCGGCCCCGGCCGCCCGCCAGCCCCGCCGCACGGGGTGGCCGCATGCCACCCTTTCCAGCCGCCTCCCCGCCTGGCGCTACCCCACACTCCCCTCCGCGCGGCCTGTCCCCCCAACTCCCGGACTCTCAGGGTGTCCAGGAGGTCGCCAAGCTCCTGATGGGCGGCAAGGACGTGGCCATGGTCAACACGGTCAAAGACGACGACGGCCCCGGCCACAAGTCCATCAAGCAGGTGCGGTATGGACGCCGCTCGCCGCGCCTGCTGCGTCCTGCTTGCTGCTCGCAGACGGGGCTGCTCGTCGGCGGCCCCCCCCCTCCGCGGCCTCCAGTGAGGGCGCGCGGAGCCCGGGTGTGCGGCAAAAAAGACCCTGCGCCAAATACGCAGCGACGCCCGCGCAGGGCCTGCTGCGAGGGCTTTGCGCCCTTGGCAATGTTCGCTACTCAGGCAGCCTGAAGCATGCTCGTTTTTGCATGTCTTTTGCCTATCCACGCACACACATGCACACACACACCCACACACACACACACACACGCACACACACACACATGCACACACACTCTCACACACACGCACGTTGCAGGAGCACTTGGTTGTTCCTGGTCGCGACCTGGTGCCGGCCCTATGGCACGTGCTGCACGCCCAAATGGCACAGGAGCCTGGTGGGTTGTCCGCCCGCGCTCTGGGCCGCACCGTCGGTCCTGTGCCCCTCGCTTGCGCCCCGCTCGCGGCCGCTTCGGGCTGTCTTCACCGCGCATTCGGCGTGCGGGCGCAGACTCCGCATGCGCCCCCTCTCGTGTTTCCGGCCCACCACAACCCTCCACCCAGCTCGCCTGCTTGACGCCCGCCCACCCTCCTGCCGCGTCTGCTCAACCTTCTCTCTCCCTCCTGCCACCTTCCTGCCACCTTCCTGCCTTGTCCCCGCCACATTCTTGCCCCTGCAGGCAGCTACAAGGTGATCGTATTCTTCACCACAGCCCGCGCTGCCCAGTTTTACGCCAACCTGATGCGCGCGGCCGGCGTCCAGGTGCGTGGGGCAGCCCCACTTAGGGTTTAGGGTTCAGGGTTTAAGGCCAGACACCAAGCTCTCTCCGCGCCCTCGGCCCCGCTGCCGCCGGCCGTGCCCGCCGTGGCCCGTTGCCGCCACAGGCGG